CATGTGAGGGTAAATATTATCGAAAATAAATAATCGAAAATAATAATAATTTTTTTTTAATGGAAAAAAAAATGTTTACCTACTATACATTTATGTCATAGTTAATTTCGTATCCATGTACAAATTTCCATGCGTGCTGAAAAGAAACACACAGAGCAGACTAGATTGTGATTGCAGCGTGCTTATTCACGTTTCACTCCTTCCTGTTCTCTTCGTTTCTCGGCTCCCCCGTTTAAAACTAAAATAAGCAAATTGTGACGTAGGTTTCTCCACGTCCTACTACATTTTCCCTTTAATGCACTTCCCATTTAACCTAATTAATGACATCTACAACATTCTCTAATTTTAAAAATTCAAAAATTTGATTTCTCTTCCAACTAATTTAATGTAGGCCTACATACCTTTTCAAACCATGTTTATATATCATTCTCTTATTATTCCAGTGTCTTAAACTATGATTTAGATTGTGATTGTGGATGTAGTTGTGAGTGTGAGTGTAAGTACAATAGGTTTCCCAACTTGTCCTAAAAAGTCTAAAGTTTCTGTGAACACTTGAATCGTGATGCCGGACATTACCCAATTCTCCGCCTTTAGGCCTATTTTGATATCTTGATCTTGTGAATCGTTGGACTAAATCGGTATCGGGGATATAGCATTGTGTTCGTCGTCAATTAATATAGAAGAAAATTCAAAATTGGTGTTAAAATAATTGAGCAACCCTTTCGCCTATTGCTGGGTTTGCTACTGAACATACCCTTTAATTTTAACAAAATAATGAATATTATTATGAAGTTTAATTTGCAAGTAAATTTTCTTATAGGTGTATACTGTGTCGTCTTGGCCGTTGGCGATAATACTGAAAACGTTCGCAACGCCCGGCGTTGTATTATTTTTGATGACCAAAGTGACATATCGATCGTAGATGAAAATCCTATAGATCTAGCAGTTAATGGAGAAACGCTTAATTCTCAGGACTCGGACGTATGGATTGCTGGTGATAAGAATGTAAGATTTTTGTAAATGGTAAACATATTATAATATTAATGATGTCGGTGATGATATTGTTGGTGATGAAGATAATTACGATGAGATCGTGGTAATAATAAAATAATGCTAATGATGGTGATTGTAAAGTTAATGATAATGTTACTGATAAGTAAGTGCAATAGGATGATAAAGGTAATGATGATGATCGACTCAGGGAACAGTGATCGAATTAATAGTAATTTCATTTATTTCGTCTTTGGAACACAGCATAGGAAGGTACATGATAAACGAACTATTAGTAGGTAGACTGGACGATCAGAAAGTAGAATTATTCTCTAACCCCCTTAAAGCCAATGTTAAAATAAATTAATAAAAAATAATATATGTACAAATGAATAAAAAGACCAGAAAGTATATACATACGAGTTATAGGGCTATATCACATTCCATTGTGAGGTAAAATATAGTAGCTGTGTGTAAGTGAAGTAAAACTAAGGTGAACTAATGAACGGGGATGCGCTCGCTTTGCTCGCTTGATTTTTGTATGTTAAACGTCGCTATTAGTTTCGGTGTAAAAGATAACAATTATTCAAGACCATTTAATGAAGATGAGCCTACGGAAATTGTTGTCATTAGACCCTTACTTAAATATGTAAACATGTAGGACAATGGTTTTTCATAACCTTTGATTATATCTCCCCTAGGTGACAGCCTATGAACGTCTGAAGTTGTCTATAGACACTTAAGGCGTTCTTGGATCACAAGTTTTTGAAACTGATTCAATTATAGTGAGTCACAACGCACAAATCTAAATGCATGTCTGGGAATAACCTACTGAGGGTATGAAATAAGCACAAGTATATTATAGATATGCAAGAAAAACAAGCGAATCGTTAACATTATATATTAGATTGATGAATATCTATGGGAAAGCATTAAATATAATATGGTAATGGGAAGCTTTAGTTCTAGAAATAGTATGAACAAAATTAAGGTGATCAGATATAATGTTCAATATAATGTTATATGTTGGTTTTCTTATACAAAGTCAAAGTCAGCAATGAATGTAATCCCAAAACAAGCCTAAACCTGTTATTAACAAGGCTCATCAGATTTAGACATCGCAGATTTTATACGAAACGATTAAAATATTAAAATTAAAAAAATTGGTCCTGGGAAAACAATCTTATGACCACGCGTTGGATTTTCTCATATCACCAATATGTGGGATTGTAGGTTTGTAAACAACCTCACAACCAGACCACAACAAAAGAATTTCTTAATCAGCTCAAGGCGGCTAAGGTTAGCCGCCGTGAAACGATACGATGCCTCGGAACGGAACACTGTTGTATAATGATTAGGATGATTATGGCAAATGTGATGAATATGACCTTAGTTATTTTGATGATGATGTTGATGGTGATAATGATGTAAATAGTAATGCCCATCAATAATAATATATTGACAAATATTTCATACTTGTTTCAAGATTCAAATGTCATGGCAGGGTCATTTTGCTAACCAATTTCACATAGACCACAGCATATTACTCTCTATTGAGCCTGATAATGATGTGTTTAATGAAGCTTTCGATTCGGAAGCTTCGCCAGCAGGACGTCCTCTATCGGCCATTGATAATCGAAATGGAATTGTTAAGTTCGAAGTTGGAGTAGGTAAAGACAGATTTGGCGGAGCAACATTTGATTCGTTTCAGCCAGAATGGATACAATTACCAAATGATCTGGTAAGTATATGAAAATAAAACTACATATCACCGCCTCAACGGCCACCACTACTACACAGTGGTGGGTCCAGAAATGTGGCCAAATAGGTCCAACAGGATGTCTGAATCAAAGTATGCCTAGAGCCTGTGCCAGG